CTTCCTCCCTCCCTCCCTCCCTCCCCTCCTTCCCTCCCTCCCTCCTTCCCTTCCTCCCTTCCTCCTCCCTCCCTCCCTCCCTCCCTTCCTTCCTTCCTTCCTTCCTTCCTTCCTTCCTTCCTTCCTTTCTCTCTCTCTCTCTCTCTCTCTCTCTCTCTCTCTCTCTCTCTCTCTCTCTCTCTCTCTCTCTCTCCTTCCTTCCTTTCTTTTCAGTGTCTTAAACCCCAGTCATCCCAAATTCTTGTAGCTTTTAAAATGTTAATGTAAATCTGGGCATATAGTCTCAGATTTTTTGCGCTGATGCTATTCCATAATTGCTTAGGTGTATTTTCCCATTGTAGTCTTTTAGAATCAGAAGTAAACGTGTAAACCCTTATAAAGTCATCTAGTCCAACTTTTGCGTATTGCATGTAAAGAACCTGTGACCCAAAGCAAAGACTAGAATTCTTAACTCCATTTAGTTTTTTCCCCCCCATAACACCATGCTGCCTTCCGTTCAGGTTATCAGCCAATCAGAAGCTGAGTTATTCAAAAACTACATATTTCTCGGGACACTCCTCTACTGGTATATGAACTCGAGTTTATTGCTTTCAAAGATAATTCCCTTCTTTACCTAGTCCAACTGCCAGTTTTGTTGGAAAAAAGCAAGTTATATGTTCACAAAACAAGGCTTTCTGCCTAAAAAGCAGTTCGTGAGCATAATTTATTGTATCTGTGGTTCTGGTGTTCGTATTGCCTTTGATTTACAGAAGACAAACTTGACCAACAGTGTGCTCTACATGTAGTGCTTGTGCTGGGCTAACATTTCCATCAATTTCTTCACCTCCATTTCCTCCAGGCCCCTATAGTTGTGGTAGTGAGGCCTTCACCAGTTAGTGTCGCTGCTTCCCAGGCTTCTCCCAGGAGATTTTAGTTCAATCTTAAAAATACTTCAATGGAAAGAAGGAACTAAACTATCGGGCTACTTTCACAAACCTCCTCTTAGCTTATAATTAAAAATAATATCCTAAATGGTAGGTTGCATTTAGCATTGCCAAGTGTATACTGGAAAATACAGATTATACTACCATGTGTTTTGTATCTTCCCTTGCAAATGATGATATTAAACTAAGGTAAGTTTTTGTCCTTTTAATTTTTTTATATAAATTATTTCCACTCCCTCTAATTTATAGAGTTGATGTCTTCTTTTAAGTACAATAGACCCTTGTGTGTAACAGATTTGATATGGATTCATTTATTCATTAGCAACCCCAAAAGCCCAAAAGTGTAGTAATGTTTGACAAGGCAGAGTCAAGATGCTGTGAAGCTGACATGTGGGAAAAGTCAACTTAGAGTCTAGAGAGGGTGTGGTGTGTGTATGGCAAGAGATTCCACATTTCCCTCGTGGTGGGCTGCAAAGAGCAAGTTTGGGTCAACCATTTCCCATCTGTTTTTAAGAAGTGGTATGGGCCAGGAGACATCATGGGAGGTGGGATTGGCCTGTTACCTGTGCCCTGCACCCTCGGCCCAGGAAAGACTTGAAGGTGTAGAGGGGTGCAAAGGCTTCATGAATAGACAGAATAGTTTGTGTAGGAAAGGGGCTGGGATAGGTCCAGCCTGAGAGCAGAAAAACATTCAAGATTTGGGGGCCTTGGTACAGATATACTTAATGACCTTGGAAGCCAGCAATACACATCTCAATATGACTGACATTCTCTATTTCCTGGCTTTTATTATAAATGTCCTAAAATTTTTCAGTTTTCTTAACTGTATTTTATAGAGAAAATTTTCTCTTAACGATGGTATCAAGCACTTGAGATTTATGAAGACATTAGGACATATCTCAGGAATGTAAAGGGTCAGAAAAGGTCTGTTTTGTCTGATTAACAAATCCGATGGGTTTCATGGCTGACCCTTGGTGCTTAAACCAGGAGGTTCCAATCTAGTTTTAGAGTTCTGTCCCTCCGAAAGGTCCAACTCCATGTGACTAACGAACTGGATGTATACTTTGAGCCTTATTTAATTCACAAAGAGGTTGACTTACCTCTATTTTTATTTCAACAAATGAAAATAGCCCTCTTTTCACCTCTAGATTGCTTACATGTTGCTGGTCTCCCCAAGTGACCATTGGTGGAGACCAATTAATGAAGGAATGAAATTCACTTTCTTGGGACTGTGGTATTCTGCAGAGCCAAGCTTAACCACTTTTTCTAGTGAAGAATCTACAGAGTGATAATACCTAAGTATGGATGGCCAAGAAGAATTTATATCTACAGTGTGCTTTATGTATTTTTGACACTGCTGTATTCTGTGTGATCGAGTGACTTGTAACTGGTTCCAATGTGAGTGTTCTCAAAGAATCCTAGTAATTAAGTTGACTTAATTTTCTTAAGCCTTGTATTACTATTAGTCTCACATTTACCACTTTGATTCCAGTCTTTTAACTGTTCATAACAGGGCATACCAAGGGTTGGGATAAGAGCCTACTTCCTACCTCTTAAGGCACTTTCCTCATTATTTTTCCATGTAACCTTGAAGTGCATGATAAGCTGTTTAAATGTCCATGACTTCTCCCAGAGCAACTAGCAAAGTATATGACATTGAATAGAGATTAGTGGAAAGGAAAATTTAGAAACTAAGTTCAGAGGTTCAAACCTCAAGAAAACCTCTTTAGAGCACATACCATTTGAGTACAATATACGTAAACGTATGTGAGAGGAGAGTTGCTATAATAGTCCTCTAAGTAGATTAGTTCATTATCTAATGGAAGTGAAAATCTTTACTCCTATTATCACTATAGTACTGAATGAACTGTATACTGAGTTTTTCAAACAAGTATTTAAAGTAGAACTTTTAAATACCAAGCAAGGGCATAAGGATAAAGGTTTGGGTTTGTGTTCCTCTAAGTGTAGTGTTCCATCTAAAGCTTTGTTTTTTAATCAAAAAATGCTTCAAGGTATTGCCATTTCTTAGCATTCTTAATAATTATGGGTGATGAGTTTTTAATTCTTAAAATTATGTATGTGTATTAGGTTTATCTTAAATGTTACCCTATGCAGAAGGGAAAGTATACACCTAAGGGATGTAATTATTTTGCATTTTTGGGTGGGAATGGGGTGGGCATCTACTTAGATAGTTTTTAAAAAAAATCACAAGTATTTTTCTACTATTATATATCATCTTACTTTCTACTAGTTTCTCTCTAGTAAGGCATGCCAGAAGCCCGAGGTACCATATCATGAGTTCTTATGTATTGTACCTTTTATTGGTGGTTAAATCATATCAGATGCTTGGGACTGCTGCCATAATTATGAAATGCTTGTAAAGGATTACATATCACTGAATACTTTAAATTGTTTTACTTAAGAGTCTAATCTGGGGAAGTTTTCAAATCATACTATTAATGTGTAATCTAAGCTCTTTCAGATGTATCCATGAATAATCCTGGAACAATATTGCTTGTATTCCTGTCACAGAACAGGTTTTGTAATCTTTAAAAGAAACGAAAATTTATATAATAAAGTTTCAAACAAATGCATGTATGTTCCTTTATCAGGTTATTGCAATTACATGTTGATTCTTCATATTATCAAATTATTTTATCCAAGGTATAAATTTATCAAATTGGATTGGTAAAACTTAAAACAGGAATGTCTCTGAGTTAAGAAGTATGAACTAGTTTTTCTATGCAAAGTTTTCGTTAGCCTAAAGAGTTTGTTAAATAAGACTCACATCAGTCATAGATCTTACCCAATACCAAACTTGATTAATCATTCAAAGGATACAGGCACAGATGAGACTCTTTTCTTTGAGAAGTCCAAGATTATCAGATTTAACTCCAAAACAACCCCTTTCTCCCTCATAATGGTACATTTTGGATTGATTCAGAATTAAAGAACAAGTTTTCCTCTGTGCGATGTTTGTGGAGACATTGTTTAAACAAAGGGAGTCATTTGGTTTTGCAACACCCCCTTTTTATGCCTCATTAATTACACAATTTAAATGTTGAGTCCTCGTTCTCCAACCATGCCTCATAAATCCATAAATTGCAAATTTTACAAGAAGCTATCTCTATAGACCAAGCGTATCTTGCTAAAAGCGTTTTAGAGATAAGGACTTTTTGTTTTATTTCTGCTAGTAAATGTCATTAGCACATTTAAAAGGAAATTTGAGATCATTGGTTGCTGTTAGAGAGGGAATGGGTTATAGGCCTGCAGTTATCCTGTCCTTTTCAGTAGACATTTGTAGTAGTTTTATATTATGATAGCATATTAGTTTGCTAGGGCTGCCATAACAAAATACCACAGACTGACAGAAATTTATTTTGTCACAGTTCTGGAGTCTGGTTCAAGATCAAGGGTCCAACACCCTATCTCCAAACAAAGTCATATTCTGAGGTTTTAGGGGTTAGGAATTCTACATGAATTTGGGGAGTACACAATTCAGCCCATAACATTGAATTTAGGTCTTCCCTCCCTCCCTTCCTCCTTTTTTTCCTTCCTGAGCACCTACTATGTGCCAGACATTCTGCTAAGTGCTGGTAATGGTAAAGCAACAGATGTGGTTTACAGTGAGGTAGGGAAGACATTTATAAAGTAATAACGTCATGCAGATATTATGCTTTGGTAATGGGGATGGCAGGAAAACATTGCCCATTCCTTCAGACTGCCAACCTGCTAGGTCGGGTGAAAGAGCCACGTTAAAACATGAGATTACAGTTGATGAGTCAGCAGCTCAAACCCTGAGAGGCTGGTTTGTCACAAAGCAGCAGAAGTCTGGTGTCAGCCAGCAGGGGGCGCTCCCTGAACCAGCCCTTTACTAGAAAGCCTGGGCCCCTCCCATTTCCTCCCTTACTCCGCCTCCTCCTTGCTCATGGCCCCGCCCCCTACGTGTTCCGCGAACACTCCCGGAGCGCGTGTCGCTCAGCTTTAACAATAGGGGAGGGATCAGGCGGCCACGCCTGCGCAATAGAGACAGGGGGGCGGACCCAGGCGGCTTGGAGGCGGGGAGACGCAACGCAAGCAGATGCGACGCCATTTGCTGCCGGCCGTGCGTGTGTAAAGTAGGTCTTGGAAGGGCTCGGTCTCGGGACTCTCCCGCGCACGCGACCGGCCTCTCGCGCCCGCTTGGTACCGCGGGGCTCCACGCGTTACCCCTCGCCCCCCTTGGAGGAATCGCCACCGCCGCCGCCCGAGTAAGAGTCGGAGTCGCCGCGAGGCCTCTGCTCCCGCCATGCCCAAGAATAAAGGTAATGCCGCCTGGACCCCAGGAACACGACTCCTCTCTGCCGGCTCTCCCGGCCATTCTTGCGGCTTCGGAATATCCCGGGCTGCCGTGACCTTCCTCTCCGCCCGGCCTGCCGGTGGCTGGGCGATTAGGACGCCCTCCTGGGCTCGGGAGAGGAGCTGGGAAGTTACTCCTGTCTTCCAGTTTGGTCACATTGGGGTGGAGCCGCCGCCATTTTTGTAGGGCCTCCTGCCGGAGAATGTGGGCTTTTGCTCCTGATTCGCGCCACAGTGACCTCGGCGTGGTGGGACCCATGGAGAGACCTCCCCTGGGGCGGCGTGGGGTTCGCAAATGGGCGCTTTGGCTGTCCTGGGCAAGGGGAGTTAAACCCTGGAAGCAGTTCTTAACTTTCAGAGGGTGATGCTTGCTTTAGTGCCCGTCAGGTACCCCTAGATGGGTTTCTTTATGGACATAAATTGAATATTGTTGAGACTACATCTCTCTTGTAAACAGTGGGCGAAACCTGGATGCAATTTCGAGGTTCATCTCTAGAGATATACCCTTCCCCATCCCTTTACGGAGTTTAACTCCACACACACACACACATACACACACACACACACACACTTGTTCCATATTTATCCAAGTTTTCTAGTTTTGTTTCAGATTATATATATATATATAATAAGTTCCCTCCATTCTGAAGGTAAACATTCACAAGTTACCAGACTTGAGGATAAGTTTATTTGGAATTTCCAAAATGAAAAGCCTAGTCTAGGTAAAAGCAGAACAGTCCTAAAGAAATTCTCCCTTTTTTAGACTTAAGGGTGTTTCTGTTTTGTTTTTTTTGTTTTGTTTTTTTTTGCTTTTTTTTTTTTTTTGAGCATCCCTCTAATTTCTCAAAGGAAATTGTTCAAGTAGAAACTGGGAAAACTGTGTTTCTGACAGAAGAGGAGCTTATTTCAGAACCCACAAGAAGTTTCCTTTGGTTATTCATCCTGAGACCCCCTGCCCTGACCTGGCCTACTTCCATTCTCTTTTCTACTTCACAGCTGGCTACAGCGTTTCTGCCTCATTTCCTCTGTAGCTGTCACTACTCATTTTATCCCTTGGGATTTTGGGTTGCATTCTGTGTAAGATTAGTTGCAGTTATCTGTAAGATTTAGTGCAATTCCCTCAGGGCAAGCTACAGGTATTGCCCTTAGAAATCTAACTTGTGGGTCCTTTTTGGAGCAAGGATTTTACTGCTAATAATTTTTGGAAAGATTGGGTGATAAAATAGGGTTTTTTAAAAGTCATAGTTTTCTTGAAACCTATGTAATCTTTTATTCCCTATGAGATGGTAACCAGATTGCTTTAATGGGTATCTTATTCTCACTTTTATTTCTAGCACGAGATTTCCAATTCCTTCACTAGACTGTACGCTGTAAAGGGCAGTAATAGTATCTGTCTTAATAACATTGGATTGCTAGCACTTGACACTTAGTAGATGCTCAATAAATATTTGTTAGATTAAGTCACCTCCCTTCTGTTGAGTCCACCCTTAGGTGGATAATAGGTTACCCTTTAGTTCCAAGGATAGGACTTCTGCATTAAATCACATCTAGTTCACTAGCCTCCTTCCTTTAAAGTTCATTCCATTACATGGCAATAAAATAGAGAGGGAGGTGATCGGAATGATTAATTCTGGTAAATTGACAAGTGATGAATCACTTTTATAAGTAACATTTTGTACGTACAAAAATTATAGATAATGCAATGAACACCTGGGAATCCATTACTCCAAACTTGAGGATTACAACACATTGAGTTAAAGCCCTCTGTCTTCCTTCCTTACCTTGGGGGAAGGTGCTCCCACATTTTGAGGGCCTCACTACCGTTGATTTTAAAATTACCACTCCTTTAGGAATATGTGGACTACTCTTGACTGATTTATTCAAAGACTTGCCAGCTCGGGTATATAACTCAGCAAACAAAGTAGGTATGATTCTTGTCCTAATGGAGTTTTCACTTTAGTTTGAAGACCTGTCATGATTAGTGGCTTGAAACAAAAGGTACTTTTCCTAGGGAATTAGTTTTGGTGTGCCCTAAGAATGCCACAAATACTGAATTCTAAGGACTCTGGGTGAGTCAGGAAATTGTAGTGGCCTGCCTAACAAATGCACAGAGCATTGTGAGACTGTACCCATGACAGGGTAAGTGCACATGATGATGCAAGAAGTTAAGTGTGTCTGTCTTTAGAGTGGCCAAGTGCACACTCTTTATTCTGTTTGGGTTATGAACCTTTTGCTGCTTCCACACTCTTCCCATAAGTCCCTTAATCTCACTACCACTTATAGCCATTTTTGGAAATGACTGCCAGGGTCTGGGATGGGACAAAATGGTATGTAGAGATACCCTAATGTGGGGGACTAATGTTAAGTAAGTTACTTCTTTGGGCTTAGGTAAACTCACTGGAAAACTGGAGGTAAATGACTTATTACCTCATAAGGTGATTGTGACAAGTAAGTGGGTGGTTGCATAGTGGTTAAGAGCATAGTGTCTGGTGACTAACATCTGAACTCTCAGGTCACGTGATTATAGCCTTGGATAGGTCACTTAACCTTTTGAAGTCCATTATCTTGTGAAATAAAGACAAAATAATACCTATCTCATAGGCATAGGCTTGTTAGGGAGGAGATACTAGAACAGTGAGTAGTCTTACTTGATGCATAAGGGAATAGAAGTATTGACAGATAGGTTGGTGTCGTGTTTATAGGTTGAGAGACTTATATTCTGTAAGGTAGTTATGTTATCACTAACAGAAACAAGGATGTTGATTACGGACCAGCTTTGCAAAAGAAAGTAAATGGGGTTTTGAATAAAATTGAGCTTGAGATGACAGTAATCCATTCACTAGAAATGTACTGAGGCCAATAGAAATAGGAGATAAAGGCTTAGTTGAAATAAGGGGGTGGGATGTAAAATTATTAACATTGAAGTGGTAGGTGAGAGAAAAATAAATTTCCTTAGAAAGTGGGTGAGCAGAAGGAATTTGAACTGAATGAAGCTCCAAATGAATAGGCATAATGAAGAGGGGGCTGATAAAAGGTCAAGAATAGTACAAGTGATCCTTCAGAAGTTGGGAAAAGGAGAGTTGAGAAATGATCAACAGTGTCATTATTTAAAGAATGAAAAGCAAGGGGGCCATGGAGAATGACAGATTTTTTAAGGACACCAGTAGATAGTGTGGTGTCCTAAATGGAGGTATTTGGATCTTCTGTTCTAACTCTCTAACTCCCATATTTTACAGAGGCTGAAAGAGATCAAGGGGCAGGGGATGGGGGTTGAAAGCTCCCTGTATCCTTTATTCCTGTCTCCTTCTACATCTGGCCATAATTCTGTTTCCATCTCAGAAATAATTCTTTTATCATTCCTCAGAATAATATTCCATTGTATGATTGTATCACAGTTTATCCATTTATCTACCAAAGAACATCTTGGTTGCTTCCAAGTTACTTTTCCTCTTCATGACTAAGCACAGCCTGCTTCATTGTACTTGTAATAAGGGCAGGGACCTTCTGACCAGTTTTCCCACCCAGAGGATCATGTGACACCTCTGCTTTTTGTTGAAGTATTTTTTTAATGAAAAATTTTTGAATAGTAAATATATTCATGATTCAAATTTCAAAAAGTATAAAAAGTGAAATCTCTCTTCCTAAATGTGTCCCATTGCCATCTAGTTCTCTTTTTCACAGGCATTGTTAACTTTTTTATATATGCCCTTCCAAAGATATTTTATGTATATATAAAAGCAGATGTGAATATGAATTTATATATATATATCAATGGCGGCTTTATGCTCTTCTTCACCTTGCTGTATTTGTTTTTAAACTTACAGTAGGACGAATTTTGAATGTATGCAAAAGTTGACTAGTATAATGAACCTTCATGTACTCATGTCCTGGCCCCAGGCACCATCAATTCCTGGCTAAAAACTTGCACCATCCACACCAAATCAAGATCCAGAGATGGGCTACACATTGCCATTGGTTGATATGTCTTTTAAGTCTAATGGGTAGGTTACCCATCCATGCATGTTTTCTTTTTCATAATGTATCTATTGAAGAAAACAGATTGTCTTATTATACAAATGACCCCACAGTTTGGATTTTGTTGATTACGCCCCTATTGCACCTTGCTTTTTGTTGTTGTTGTTTTTAATAGACTTTATTTTTTAGAGCAGTTTTGTATTTCTAGAAAAATGAACAGAAAGTACAAAGTTCCCGTATACTTCCTCCACACCAGTTTCCTCTATAAACATCTTACATGAGCCAGTCTAGATGCATTATCATCTCAGGTCCATAGCTTATAGGTTCATTATGTTTTACATTGTATGGGTTTTGACTAATGTATAGTGGCATGTATCCACCATTACAGTAAAGGTTCCTCCATGTCTTTGGGGGGCTTGGTAGTTCTTTTTATTGCTGAACTAGAGGCCCAATGCATGAAATTCATTCAAAGTAAACCCCCCCCCCCCCCCCCCCCAGCCCACTGGCACTGGCTTCCCTCGCAGCACAGACCAGGGACCCTGCCCAACAGTGGCCTGGAGTCCTTGTGCCCCAGGCCTGAGCCCAGGGCAGCACCAGAAAAGGGGAGGCCCCCCACCCCCGAGAACAGAGGCCTTGACCCAGCCTGCCGGCCAGCAGATCCACATCCATATCCATGTCTGCCTGCTCAGGCCTGGAGCCTCCAGACTTCCAGAGGCGGCCACCACCAGGTTGCCCTCAGCACAGATCTGGGCAGGGAGATGAAGACTCAGGGGTGCCCTCGGCAACCGGCAGGGCACGTGGCGTAGGGCCTTACCCCATTCAGCACGTTGTCGTGGCTTCGGGTGCAGATGGTCCGTGGTGGGTCTGTGAGCACATGTACCCGGATGATCTTGTCAATGGACGTGGTGCTTTTTAACTTCAAATACCTTGCTCAATGTATCTTGCAGCAATAGGATAAAATTCAAACTCAGCATTTAACAGACTTGTTGCTCTCCCTCCACTACCACAAAATCAGTGTGTCCCATTCCAATAGCTATAACTTTACCTTTTTCTTTTCTTTTGTGTTCTTGCATTATCTTTTCTTTTCAGTCATCTCCTTATACTCACACCTTTCATTGGGGTAGGGGTGAGGGGGCGGTCAGATAAAAGAGAGACAAGGCATTTTTATAAAATGGATCAAGACCCATTATCTCCCACCTTGTCCCATGTGGGCCACTGTAGGTTCACTGAGCTGTGTAGTCAATCAAGTAACTTTATGATCCAGGGCAGTTTGGTCATTGAATGCAGATGTCCTCAGAAAAGTATCTATATACTTTTATATAATATCTGCTTTGGTTTGTTTGTATTTGATGTCAAAAATATTCCAAAAGGGAATTTCCAAGAAGGGTAGGGGAGTGACAATATGTATATGTTTAATATAATTGGAGATTGTAAAATTTAATGTTGTGTGACTAAATTTGAATTTTTAAAGTAAGTGATTTTTTTTTAACTGTTCTAGGTGCCTCAATTTAGTTTAGTTTCTTTTCCTACTGTTTTGCAAATAATGTCTTTTTCTTTACTTAAAACCATTAGGTAAAGGAGGTAAAAATAGACGTAGGGGTAAGAACGAAAATGAATCCGAAAAAAGAGAATTGGTGTTCAAAGAAGATGGGCAAGGTAAGTGTTTTCATAAGTTAGCATCCTTTTAGTAATAGTTTTGTTTTTCAAATATGGAATTTCAATTTCTAAACATAAAAGAGATACTATTCATGATCTGAGCAGTGAATCGCATGCCCCTTTTTGCCCTTCTCCATTTCTTTTGCTAATCATTTTGGTTACCAGTCTGCGTTGAGGATTGGTGGTGTTTCTGTAAATGTATAGGTGTATTGTGTTGCATATCTAGGAATGAATTATACAGGCCAGAGGGAATTAAGCCTCAAAAGTGATGGTTGACAATTCTATGATTTAGTGGGCCTTTTTTTTTTTTAATAGTAAATAGTGCTACATAGTATGTGCAGTGGACCATGGATACTTGAGGGATGAATCTGAAGCCTTTCCTTCTCTTCTCCAGTGCCATTAGCATATAATTTCATAAAATGAAATTGAACATTTGACTGATCTTTTCTAACCGATTAACACTTTGTAAGTGCCAGCCCAAGATATATTATACTACTTTCTTATATTTTTATTTTGAGGACTTTTAAACCTTCAGAGAAGTTGCAGTATTAGTACAATGAACTTTTCTTAAATTGTTGTGTGTGTGTGTGTTTTCCGGAACCATTTGAAAGTTGCAGATATCATGATGCTTTTCCCTTATTGCTTCTTCCTTTTGCCTCTTAAGAACAGGTATATTCTCTTACATAACCACAACAGAACGCTCAGGTAATTTAATCTGAGTATATTATGTATCCAGTTTATGGTTCGTAGTCAAAATTTTCCAATTATCCCAATAATTTCCAGCACTTTTTAACAAAGAAATTATTTGTATAGTCTTTTTATAGAACTTTGGTGATTTGTTCACACCATATAAAAATGAAACATTTTCTGGCTAAAAGAGCTTTTTTTCTTAGCCTTAGTCATTCTAGCCCCCATTAGAAGTTGACTTGATTTTGACTGCTACTACGTTTACTTTTTCTTTTTTTTTCTTTTTTTAATATATTTTATTGATTTTTTTACAGAGAGGAAGGGAGGGGGATAGAGAGTTAGAAACATCGATGAGAGAGAAGCCTCGATCAGCTGCCTCCTGCACACCCCCTACTGGGGATGTGCCCGCAACCAAGGTACATGCCCTTGACCAGAATCGAACCTGGGACCTTTCAGTCCGCAGGCCGACGCTCTATCCACTGAGCCAAACCGGTTAGGGCACGTTTACTTTTTCATATTCCCCCCCCCCCCCCCCCCACTTTGGAAGAGAGGCTGCCATTTATTTATTTTTAATTTTTTATTGATTTCAGGGAGGGAGAGAAAGATAGAAATATCAATGATAGAGAATCATTATTTGGCTGCCTCCTGCATGTCCCATACATTGGATCGAGCCCACAACCGGGTATATGCCCTGACCAGGAATCCAACCATGACCTCCTGGTTCATAGGTTGATGCTCAACCACTAAACCATGCTGTCTTGGCGAAAAGCTGTCTTTGACCACCATGTTGAAGTGCTAGGTTCACTGTATGTAGTCTGGGTAACTTCCACTTGTCAACCCCACAATCAATTTATCAAAGTTACATCACTGAATTTACCAATTAGTAAATATCCTCTTTGGCGGTTAGTTTAATGTCCTGCTTGAGTAAGTAAAGGTTCTAAAGTGATGGCCCCTCTCCCCGTGTCTTCTGTCATTTACTGATAAAAGAGACAGGCCGATGTACAAGCTAATGCTCAGAATCTCAGTTTTTCAAATGGCATTGAAACCAATTGGCTTCCTGGGTACCCTTTTGAAAAGATTTTTATTAAAAGCTTGGTATTTTGCCTAAGAACATCTTTCTGGCTTTAAAAAAACTTCAGAATAATTACTAAGACATTCTAATTTAACAAAAGTAGCTTAATTAACATTTAAGCCACGTTTATTTGCCAAATCTACCAAGTGTTGTGTTGAGATTATCCTCTAAAGCAGTGGTTCTCAACCTGTGGGTCGCGACTCCTTTGGGGGTCAAATGACCCTTTCACAGGGGTCGCCTAAGACCATCGGAAAACACATATGTAATTACATATTGTTTTTGTGATTAATCCCTGTGCTTTCATTATGTTCAATTTGTAACAATGAAATTGGGGGTCACCACAACATAAGGAACTGTATTAAAGGGGCCCGGCATTAGGAAGGTTGAGAACCACTGCTCTAAAGGTTAGAAGGGAAAGAAAGGAGCTTCAAAATTGGCAAAGACTTCAAGAGATTGAGGAGGTGTAGTGTGTACATTTTGGGACAAGCCACCTTGCTCTCCAAAAGTAAAGCAAACAGTCATGAAGAAACATTTCTGATAGCAGAGATGAGTCTTGGTTGTGGCTCTACCATTAACTAGCTTGGGGTTTGTCACTCCCTTTCATTTACTTTACTGCATGTATTTATTCCCAGCTAGTACCATCTATATGTTCTAGTCACTTTTATGTGGACTTCCAAATTGTTTTTATCAAAAGTTGAACAATATCTTATGCCCTTTTCTTTTCCCTCCCCCAGAATATGCTCAGGTAATCAAAATGTTGGGAAACGGGCGCTTAGAAGCAATGTGTTTTGATGGTGTAAAGAGATTGTGTCACATCAGGGGGAAATTGAGGAAAAAGGTAGGTGTGGATATTTGTTTTAGTTAATACAAAATTGTGGTTAAGGGGTTAAATGTCTCTACAGTTTTTATGGGCCAAGGACCTCGTTTTTATAAGTTACCAAGAGTTCAGTAGAACTGTGATTTGCAGATTCTATTTAAAGACTCAATTTGCATCACCTATGTTGTATTCCTGCCAAAAATGTTTAACCTGAACCTAAGAGGAAATGATCGACAAATCCAAATTGAGGGACTCTCTGCAAAACAAATCAGGAAAGGAAAGAAAAGGCTGAAGTGCTATTAAGTGTTACATTAATGTTAAATTTCTGAATTGTGATCTAATTCAGGAAAGACTAATGTCCTATCACATTCAGTGTTCAGGCAGATTTATTAGTTAAATTAGTTAAAAGTTCCTCCAACTCTGATTTTATGATTATTTTTCAAATTTTGTTTTTTAATCCTTCTGTTACCTAACTAAAAAGTTGGGGTGGGGAAGTGGAAGGAAGGGAGGGAGGCAGATGAAGCAACATATCTAATTTTTTATTCTTACATGTAAAGGATAGAAAACTAACCACTTAGAATACTTCACTGGGGGGAGGGGGGATCTCTTTTTAAATTCATCACTCTTCTAGAATTAGTAAACTGCCAGGTAGTTAAATAAGAATTTTTTTTAATATTCCAAATTACAAAAAAGTTGAAACAGGCACAACTGCTTGCTATAGTTTGTTTTTGTTTTTTCCTGTTTCTAAATGTAGTTACTTAAATCACAGTTGGGTGAATAGCATTTTATGGGAATGCTGATTCAATGTTGCTCTTGATTCTTTATTTTTATTTCTTTTATAGGTTTGGATAAATACCTCAGACATAATATTAGTTGGTCTACGAGATTACCAGGTAAAAAAAATAAAATAACATTTTTATGCACTTGCCAGATTTTGATGATCCATTAGTGTTAGGAACATAAGTCATAACCGTATTTGAGCAGTTCTAGCACAGTATGTGCCTCACCATTGTATCAGCAAACATTTCATAAGGCATTGTGCTAGGTAACCCCGAGATTATGGTTCCCAAATGCTAGTCTGTGGAGTTCGTATTTTCACTGTAGAAGAAATGCAGGCCATGTAAATTTTTCATGAAGCTAAGTGGTCCTTTTTCCTTTTCAGATATTTAAAATTTTTCCTTTTTAGCCCAGGCCAGTGTTTCTAAGTAGTTAGAATGTTGGCCTATGGACCGAAGGGTCGCACATTTGATTCTAAGTCAAGGGCATGTAACTGTGCTGCAGGTACAATTTCCAGCCCTGATCAATGTGCATGCAGGAGACAGTCAATTGATGTGTCTCTCTCACACTGATGTTTCTCTCTCTCTTCTCCTACCTCCCTTCCACTCTCTAAAAATAAATGGAAAAATGTATCCTCACGTGAGGATTAACAAAAAAAAGTTTCCTTTTTGGAATGAGATAGTGAATAGTAGTTTTGTTAGTGTTCTTAGTTGGCAAAATAAAAATGTAATCTTATGTTGGTCCTCCCACCTTTTTTGTTGTTGTTAATCCTCACCGAGGGTATTTTTTCCCACTAATTTTTAGAGTGAGTGGAAGGGAGGTAGAGGAAAAAGGAGAGAAAGAAACATTAATGTGAGAGAGACACATTGGTTGGTTACTTCTCCATGTACCACTTCTCCATGTACCCCAGGAACCGGGGATCAACCTGCAACCTAGTTACGTGCACTTGACCAGGAATTGAACCCGAGACCCTTCGGTGTGCAGGCCGACACTCTTATCACTGAGCCACACGGCCAAGGCCCCGCCCCAGTTTTTTTTTTAGACTATACGTCTTGAATTCAAAATCTGGAAAGAGTTACTCATGGGGCTACAGCTGAATGATTCATGCTGCCATCCCACAAAATGTGAATAGCCTGGTAATGAGGGGAATAAGAAAGGCACACAGTTAATTACAGTATAAACCATGATATAAGTTTGTACTCTAAATTTAGATCAGCACTTAGGTAAGAAAATTATAGTTTGCCCTCATAATCTCAACCTGGAGACATTATGGGTCTGTGAAATCTATTTGGTTCTACCTGTTGGAACTTATCACTGTGTATTAAATCACATTGTGAGTGATAAAATGTTTTTATTTTTAAAAATATATGTATATATTCCAGAATAAAGAATTACAATCGTTGCTTTAAATCAGTGGTTCTCAATCATGGGTGATTTTTTTTTTTTTTTTTTTTTTTTTAATGTCCAGGGGCCATTTGGCAGTGTCTGGAGACATTTCTGGTTGTCACACCTGGGGGAGGGGGACAGTGCTGCTGGCATCTAGTGGGTAGAGACCAGAGATGCTGCGAAACATCCTACAATGCACAGGACAGGCCTTGCAACAAAGATATCAGTAGCCAAAAATATCAGTAGTGCTGAGGTTAAGAAAGCCTGCTTTAAATTCATACCATTTTAATGTCCATTCTCTTCTTTTGATCTCAAAAATAACCCGAGAAGTAGGGATAATAGTTTCCTTTGAAAAGACAGGAAACCAAGGTGCCAAAAGATACAACATTCTGACTAGAAAATAACAGCCAAGACCAACTTTTCTGATTCTTAATTTCCCATGATCCTTCTCTGCCCCTGCCACTTAAAGGGTGGTCCAGGGACCAGTAGCATCGTTAGCTTTTGGGAACTTGTTTGAAATGCAGATCCTTGGACCCCCACCCCAAGCCTCCTAAATCAGGATATGCAGTCTAACAAGATTCCCCCTGGGCTTCTTTACACACATTACAGTTTATGTAAGATGTATTGGTAAATTCACGGCTTCCCTCCACATCAACTAATCTATCTTCAGGAGGTGTAAAAGCTCCACAGGAGATTCTGATCAATTCTACCCTAAGAACCACTGGTACATGGAAAGTGTATTAATTTCCTTGGGTCATTATACCAGTCTCAATTTTTGAATTGCAGTATTTAATGTTTAATAACCCTGTAAATTATGGTTCCAGGGAATTTTTGTATTTCAAAAGACTTCTAATCAGAGGGTAATAGTAAATAATCCACAAGATTAGGTCTGCACAGTTCTCTTATTAACGTGAGATCTGCGAAGATCTTCCCTAAGCCTGTTGATCATTATTCATTTATGCATGCCAGCTTCATACTGGGTTAAACCCAAAGATATTTTTCAGAGGGTAGGAGAAAACTTAATATTTTGCCATAATCTGTTATTTTTCTCTTTTCAAGGATAATAAAGCTGATGTAATTTTAAAATACAATGCTGATGAAGCGAGAAGTCTGAAGGCATATGGCGAGCTTCCAGAGCATGGTAATGTCTCAGTTACTATATTAACCTGTCATGGTGCTATTACCTGGTCGTATCAAGGGAAGGGATTTGGGTAGAATTTTGTGGATTTTGAATACTTACTTTTGTGCTTACATGATTTGTTTTAAGTCTGACTGCCTATACTTCATAATATTAGATACCTTAAGAAAATAACTGATTCTAATAAGTATACTTTGGTTGAGGAGTTATATACTTTATAAGCCCTGGATTTTTGCATAATACCAAAGGAAACATTTTGTTGAGTATTTTAAAAGTCATTTCTCAAAGAGAATGTTAGTGTTTGTCTAACTTTAAATGTGAAGCAAGGGTAGTTAATTAGGTACTATTGTTGATTTTTATTAAAAAGGCAGTCTTCAATTTATCGTACCTAGTATCACAGAATCCCACAGGATTTTTTTAAGCCAACATTCTTTGTTTCCTCCCCCAGTACAAAAAATTATGTGTTCTTAATGTGGAAAACAACTAAAACAAAAATAAGTCCCTCACAACCTTATCAAAAGGGAAATATACTTTATATATTATTTTGTAAGCCTGCATTTTACAAGAACTTTGTATTATATCTTATATTTTGATGTATCTCCAAGTTATTAGAATAATCACAGATTTATGAATTTTTAAACATAAAATACTGTAGACCATGAAAATCCTGCTGAAATGAATTACTTGGCGTTTCAAATCTAGGAAATGCTAATACATCTGGGAAGGGCTAGCACTTTCTGGTTCATTTTCATTGCTTAGGGATAGCATGATTTGACTAAAGATTCTGATTGACAAGTCTGATGATCGATGAGTTATTAGGTTGTACTCAAACCTTTTTTAAAGCACAGCTGGAAGTTGTAATAGTTTCAGAATTTGTGTCATTAGATTCTGCCTTACTAAAAATACCTTTTAAACAAAAGAAAATTATAGCACAAGTACATTCCATCTTGACTTACCAGTCACTTTGTTGGAGGTTTTGTTTTATCAAATACTGTTCTGTATAATAGCATTGTAAAGTTAGGATCTTTCTGATCATAAAACTTAGATTTAATTATATTAAAAGTTTGAATTGTAAGAGTCTCCTTTTATATTTCAACATTTGATATCAAACTGCTTTCAGTGGGCAATTATTCATTTTAATAACATCTTGGTTATGTTATATGAGTATATTTATTTTTGTTTCTTTAGCTAAAATCAATGAAACTGATACATTTGGTCCTGGAGATGACGATGAAATCCAGTTTGATGACATTGGTGACGATGACGAAGACATTGATGATGTAAGTAAATGCGCCTTGCATTTTTCAATGTTTGTGAATTATCCACAGAGAAACCAGCTCCTTCCCCCAACTTCCTTTAATCTAAGAATGTTGAACATTTAAATAAGGGCATATTTTGAGACTTGACCATGAATTAAAATATTCAGTAGACAACTAATCAACTGTTTATACTTTGAGAAGTCACCTATTTTCAACATTTCTCCCTAGAAAGATCAATATTTGCTTTGGCAATAAAGAGAGGAGGGGTGGACTGGCTGAAAGAGGGTAGAGGGATTAGCCAAAGAACATATATGCATAACCCATAGACACAGACAATAGTGTGGTGATGGCCAGAGGAAAGGGGGGCAGGGCTGGGTGGAGGTGGGCAAAGTTTAAAAAATAAATAAAACAGCCCTGGCCAGCTTGGCTCAGTGGATAGAGCGTCAGCCTGCTGACTGAAGGGTCCCAGGTTCGATTCCGGCCGAGGGCACATGCCTGGGTTGTGGGCTCGATCCCCAGTGGGGGACTTGCAGGAGGCAGCCCTGATCAAAGATGTTTCTCTTTCATCAATGTTTCTATCTCTCTATCCCTCTCCGTTTCTCTCTCTCTAAAAATCAATTTTAAAAATTTAAATAAATAAATAAATAAAACCCAAAAAAAGAATGTCTAAAGCGATCTCTCCTAAGAACTTTAGTTGTAAGAAATATAGTATCTTACCAAAAAAAAAAAACATGTCTTCTCTTGATTGAAATACTGGTATGTTAAAAGAAGTATCTGGTTTGAACCAGCTTGATAAGAAGCCTTGAAATTACAGCATACATTAAAAGCTTTGTTAAAATCAAGGCCTTTTGCCACCATATGATGTTATCTGCTGGATATGCACTATTGGCAATCTCTTGGTTTAGAGTTAGTATGTTTATTTTGAGGAAAATGTATTGTTTTTCCTAACTTTAGTAAAGTAGTGATGCTCATAAGAGTAAATGCCTCATTGCCCTTCTGGTCAAACTTAATTTGGGGCAATATAAGTTTATTTAATAACTAGAGGCCTGGTGCATGAAATTCGTGCACGGGGGGGGGGGGGGGCGTCCCTTAGCCCAGCCTGCACCCTCTCCAATCCAGGACCCATTGGGGGATGTCCAACTGCCTCTCGCAATCCGGGACCACTGGCTCCTAACCCCTCTGCCTGCCTGCCTGATCTCCCCTAACCACCTCTGCCTGATTGACCCTAACTGCTCCCCTACCGGCCTGATCGCCCCTAACCGTCTCTGCCTCACCCCACACCCGGGACCTAGGATTCCCTCCTCTGGCTGGCCGCAGGCACCCAGGACCCGGGCCAGCTGCAGCCGCAGGGGACCGTGGGTGGGCAGCTTCACCTGGGCTGTAGCCACAGGCGCTGGCGCCCGAGACCATGGGGCAGGCAGCTTGTCCCTCTCCCAGGCCGCAGCCTGGCTGGTCCCCGTTCCTCTCTCTCGAGTTCATTTGTGCCTGGCTGGTCCTCATTCCTCTCTCCCCAGTGTTGAGTGTCTGAGCAGCGCGAGGGTGTGATGACCATTTGCATATTAGCTCTTTATTATATAGGATTACTCAAATTTGGTTTGGGCTCTTCTTTTCATCCCCCTTTAAATACAAATGTAGTTCAGAAACCACCTGTGTATATATGTCTAAAAATAACACTAATGTTTGATTTGCTTTAAAGATGAAATTTTCATATGCCTAGATCAGTTGTTTCTGACCAAGATTGTACAAAGAATTACCAGAGTTTTTCAAAAATAGAAAGACTGGTCTTTGGAATGTCTGAGTTAGGCATCACTGAGATTCTACAATGAACATTTTCCTGTACTTGATTTATCACGTATATATGTATCTTTATTCATCAGTCAGTCCATCTTATATTTGATGCATCATCAAACCATTATACGCATTTATGAATTTTTAAATATATAGTACTACTGTACTAATCCTTTGTTTAAACATTAAAGCATACCCACCCTAAAATAAAAAAAATGAAAAAGGATAAGAAATAAATATATCGCCGAAACCGGTTTGGCTCAGTGGATAGAGCGTCAGCCTGCGGACTGAAAGGTCCCAGGTTCGATTCCGGTCAGGGGCATGTACCTGAGTTGCGGGCACATCCCCAGTGGGGGATGTGCAGGAGGCGGCTGATCGATGTTTCTCTCTCATCAATGTTTCTAACTATCTCTCTCTCTCCCTTCCTCTCTGTAAAAAAATCAATAAAATATATATTAAAAAAAAAAAGAAAGAAAGAAAGAAATATATCTTTTTTAGTTTCACTCCTTTTGGAGACCCTGAGCTAGAGGATTCTTGTGACTAAACTGTTAGTGGTACCTTGACAGTAGATTTATCAATTATATTCTGTGATAAGAACCTGGCATGGCTGTAGTTTAAGGGGTTGACCCAAACATTTGGACAGCTAAGCGATAGTAGAAGGCCTCTTCAGAAATTAAGAACCTAACCAGAGAACATGCCTGAATAGGAAGAGGTGATACAGAGGTGATGGGTTGAGAATCTAGACAGGAGAAAAGTTGTCTAAGAAAAACAAAAATTCTGAATCTCTGCCAGTGCTTCCTCAGGACTGGGCCCAGCAGGCTGGCAGGGAAAGATAAAGCAGTGGTTATTAAGGGGGCTGGTGTTCTCTTTAACATTTGTAAGGGTGGCTTTGTTTATCACCTGAGAACCTTCTTCCCCGAGACATTTCTCTAGATAATTTATAGGTATTCAGTCTTATAACCAGGTTGACTAGAAAGAGGAGAATTTGGTCAGTATCACACTTGTTCCTTTCTTAAATAATGCTCTGCTCCAACCCCCAAAATAAAATATCGCTAGCACAGAAGCAAGGAGACACTACACTTTATTAAGAATATTCAATATGACATGTAACATTCTAAATGAGGTTGTAAAGATTTACTGGCAGCAGACCAGAATTGAGAAAAGCATGGTATACAGGATTTCCTCTTCAGATTGGATTTGTTTCCCAGATAGCCTAAGATGCCCCTTACGTGGTAGGCTGCTGCAATATAAGAATCTGTTTTTCATTTGATCTGATATTCTTTTCCCTTTCAGATCTAACTTGACCTCAACATTCTGCATTCCAACTTCTCTGAGGATTGTTCAACAATTTGGATTTCGGCTGAGGCCTATAAAAGAAGATTAAAATCCCTTTAATTTGAATGCAGTTGGGTTAAAGCATACTGATTTGTTTCTAAGGTGTTTCTTTAAAAACCGGTAGTGTTGAATTAAGTGAAATATTAAGCTCACTTTGTTCTTCGGGTGTAATGGAGTTTATGGGTAAAAGAGAGAGCACATCTACTATTTTTGAAAAGAGGAAAAAAACCTTTCCTATTTTGACCACTTCCAGTAAATAAATGGATGCTTTAAATAAACCATTTGCCCTATACTTATCACTTATAAGTAAGCCCTAGTTTTTACTAGCCTGTTGACTGTACAGTGTATTTCTATATATTTCAGTTACCTGCATGTATCCTTGAGGTTTTGAACAAAATTAAGGGATGCAGAAATCTGCATTTGAAATCAGAAATAATAGAACCTGGGTTTTAATAGCAATTTTGAATTTGTAAGGTTAGTAGTTGCAGAAATTGAACACTAGGTGGCACCTCTTAACATTGGAAATACTGATTTGGTTGTAAATTTTTTTTTAAACTCTGTACATACGAAATATCCCAACCAAGATTTTTTTGATCATATGCATGTATGTTGAATATTTTTACAGAACTAAAAGAGTATTGTCATTTTATTTCAGAAGTTATATGTGTAAGCTACAATTTTAAATGATTTATACACATGACTTATGTATAAATGAAAATTTCGTAACAACTTGTGCAAATTAAGCCCTTTTCAAATGATCCCTAAGCTGGGAAAAGAGGCAAGAATAACAACTTAATGAAAAGATAGTCTCCCATTTCTGAATGGAAGAGCTACCATGGAGAATATAATAAAGACAATGTCATGCTGCACAGTGTATTATATATATACTTTGTGTTTAGGATATATTTTATTGTGTGTACAGAATGTTTTTTTTGGTATGTTATTAGGAATTTAGATTCATCCTTTCTCATTCAGTTTTTCATGGCAACTCTAGTAAAATGAAATTAAAGGCTAGACTAGTTAGACCTCACTAGCCACATTGAATTTATGTGCAACTTTAAAAGAAAGATCCACCATGTAGCATGTGATACTTTTATTCTGCTGGTCTCCAGAGAACTTTGCTGTGACGAAAAGTAATGTAAAGGAATAAACCTTCACATGGCCTGCAAAAAAAACAAATCTCTCATAAGTGTGCAAATTCTGGAATCAAAATCTGTGGATCTATAAAACATTGTTAAAGAATAGAAATTTTGAATGGACATTTATAGTTTGTGTTTCTTATTTGGCGTTCTTGAACACTTACCTAGTTAGACGGCATCTGAGCTCGTGGGCTAGTTTTTAATATTTAAAAGAAACCAGCCTCTTAAGAATTATCAGTAGTGATTGTCTGTCTCAGTAATCTAAACCTCCTAAGATATTTAGGCTTTTATACATAAAGGTGTTGTGCTAAATTTGTGGTATATGGGAGGTGGGCAAAAGTAGGTTTACAGTGGGGGAAAGAATACAATAAATAAATAATACAAGAACACTTTCATGTACCTGCAACTGTAAAGTACTTTGCCCACCCCTGTATAAATCCTTCCATGTTATTTTACCAAGAATGTTTTAACTCTGTGTCTGTGATACAGTTCATAGTAGGGATGGTGTATCTCAAACATCTTAAGTTTTTCTACTTACCTCCTCAAATAAATATGGTTTATTTAAAGATTCTTTAAAACTTACAACAATGGCCCAAATCATACATTTGCTACTAATTTTTTCTTTCTTGCCTTGGAAGTAACAACTCGGTGTAGTGTTGCATCCTTGAAAATCTGAAATCATAATACCCATAATTGAAATAGTTGGGCTGAAATTGTAGCTTATATCAACACTACTCGGAATTATTTTAGTAACTTACTTTTCATGTGGAAATGAATCGTTTCATCGATATATTTCAAATGAGCAATGGAAGTGGTCCTTAAGAAAAGGTTTTTTTGTTGTTGTTTGGTTATACTCTGATTTGTAAAATACAATGCTATAAATTGTTCTCTGAAAGAAAATAAAATGTTTGAAATCCAGATAATAGTCTTACTGTTAAGAGGTGTAATAGTTATTACTAACAAACTTTATAGGCTTGCATTTTTCATGTAGTGTTTATTCCACTTCCAGTTAGAGTATAAATATGCTGCATTACAAAAGAGGCTAAATAACCAAACCAAGTGTTTGTGTGAAAAAAGACTTGCCAAGATTTATTTGTTGAATCTTGAACATCCAGCCTCTTAAAGAGAACCCCTCTTAAGGAGCCTGCAAACTATGCATGATGAAAATTCTTGCATTTTATTAAGGAATGGCCATTGGTTTACTCAACACATCTTAGGGTATCATAGCTATAAGTTTAGTTGCTTACAAAACTCTTTGTGACTTGTGGTTAAACTTAGTCTCATATACCATGTAAATATTAAATTATAGGATGTTGAATAACATCTTTAAATTGCTGTCTGTATTGACTAAAGAGCAACTGAGTAATCCATTAGGTAGAAGCATGTTTCAAATGAAACCTAGGTGGATTTATACTTTATTTGTATTATTTACAGATTTAACAGCATTCAGTATTAACTGTGGCTTGACTGTTAAAGTATCAGAATGCAGATGAGGTTCTTTATGTTACCTGACTGTCATAAAGATGAAAAAGATTTGTATCGGTATAAGGTGTTAAGATTTTTTTATCCTGCTTTGCAAGGAGAAGTTTCATTTATGCTGTTTGGACTCCCATGAACTTTCACACTACCTAAAACTACCATCATTTTTATCCTTGCTTTTTTTTTTCTTCCTATTCAGAAAAGTATACAGTCTGAATTAAGTCTTACTATAAGTGTGATAAGACACTAGCCTCTCCAAGGAATTTGGAGAGTGTATTGGACTATGTCCTCTCTTCTCCCCAGCTGCCAGGTGCTTAGAAGGCAATGTGAGGGAGAGTGAAGAGCATGGGCCCTGGAGTCAGCCTGTGTCCCAAACCCCACTCTTCCTTTTACTTGCAAGTGACCACAGGTACCTTCAGCTTGTCTCAGCTTCAGGCTCCTCACCTGTAAGATGGGGGTGACAAGAACAGTACCTGCAGAGTCACAGAATTGCTGGGAATTAATTTGTGATTCATACATGTAATGAACGTAGAGCCGTGTCCACTGCTTTTCATTCAATATCTAGGATTGTGTGTGATAGAATATGCGTGTCTTTCATATTCTCTATTTACCATTTCTTTTACTTGTAGTCTTAGGTTCCTGTAATAAAAGAAATGTATAGGTAGAATATATATTTGTATATTCATGTTGACACTATTTAAAATAATTGCTACCACCTGGCCTGGGTGGTTCAGTGGTGGAGCATCGACCCATGAACCAAGAGGTCACCCATTGGATTCCTGGTCAGGGCATATGCCCGGACTGCTGGCTCAATCTTCAGTACGGGCTGTGCAGGAGGCAGCCGTTCAATGTTTCTCTCTCATCGATGAACTATTCCTCTCTTCCCCTCTCTCTAAAATCAATAAAAACATTTAAAATAATTGCTACCATCCTCATTTAATTCATTGGAAGACTAACAGATGGAAGCCTCCAAATTGCTTGAAGATGTTTTGCTAAATACCAACTGCTCTATATTTCTTTAGAGAAAGTTTATAGTAATAGTGATAGCTCTGGTTATATTTCATTCTTAAGTCTTTAATGAGTCCTTTTACATCCTTTTATAGATTCATGAAATCTAATTAGTATTGACTGATTTAGAGGTTTTGTTTTCCATGTGGAATTACGTAAAAAAATCAGATGCAAAGTAATTGCAATTAGAAAATAAAATGAAATAACTTAAACACTGCAATTGATTGTTTCAAACTGACATTTCTAACTAGAACTTCTTTGTGATTCTTTTATGAGATTTTTATTTTTTAAAGATGATATGTAATATATGAGGGAAATGTATGCTTATCTGTCTTTCATTTGTGTTTCTGGTTATTTGATTTAGATGAATCCATTCAATGAGACTTCATATATGGGGTTGCATTTTCTGGGTGAGTTAATTGGTTGACCACCTGTGCTGAAGATGACATTTTTTCTAATGTTAAATCAGTTGTCCAGAATGACCTTTTCAAAATCACATCCAACGGACCTTATTTTGTACTATGCAAAGATATATAGGTGAAATAGATATTTATTAACTTGCTCATTCTTAAAAAGCCTGTATTTTCTGTTCCAGTCCAGGCTTTTAGTTCACAACTTGATATAATGGCAGATCAGAAAGTGGGGACAGAATCTAAGTGAAATCCTATTGCTGATTTGATCCACTGGAGTGTCAGATACAGAATTGGTTGGGTCTTTTGCAAATTTGATACAGTTCAGTACGTAGTTTATGATATTAAATATTAGAAATCTAAGAATAATTGGAATATTTTTGATAAAGGTTATCAAAAGCAAACAATTTTTTAAAGTGAATTTTACCTAGCTGTTCTGCAAAGCAATAAAAACTCAATCTCATTAAATCCAGCCCTTGAGTGTACATCTTTTTAATATTTCATGTGACAAAATAGGAAGTGCTACATAAAGCACTTCTGCTCATCCTGGGAAGTACAGTTGTCTCAAGGAAAAACGTGTGTGACTATTTCAATTGCAAACTAAACTAGCCACTGCTGCTCATGGAACACCATTTTTACTTGAAAGAATTGACTGGTTTTTCAAACTTGGTTTGAGGAAAACATTTTCTCACAAGTGAATAAAATGAGCCTGTCACTTGAAGGAATACAACTGAAAACATTTGTTGGAAATGATAAAATTTGAGCTTTCAAGTAAAAATTAGAACTTAGAAAACTAGTACCTGCTACTAGCTTGACAGCCTCAGTGAAGACTTCTGAAAAGATCAGTGATGGTATTAATGAATGTGACTGTTTAAATATTGTAGAATGAAATGTGTTGACATTTGGAAGTTCATGGATTAGCCAATATTTTCTAAATGATCAGTGGGTTTAATTGTTAATAGTATGAAAAGATCATTGATTCAGTGTTAGGTTCTACATTGCAAGTACCCTTTATGAAATTATCATTTGTTAAGATTGGGTGTAATATCAAAGAACATACACAAATCTGAAAAGGCTATTAAAATACTTTTCTTCCAACCACATACCTCTGAGGCCAGATTTTCTTCATATGCTTTAACCAAAATAATATACGGCAACACATTGAAAACAAAAGCAGATAGATGACTGTCTTCTGTTAAGACCATAAAGAGATTTGCAAATATGTGAAACAATGCCACTCTTCTCAAATTTGCTCACTAAAAGTATGTTTTTAAATCATTGGCTTTTTTTTTGATAACTAAAAATTATTAAATACTTTTTTAGATTTTCTGATACATCCCTATTTCAGAGATACAGCACACAAGTAAACTAGTCATTGCAAGGACAACTGACAGTATTGCCAATACTACAGTCGTGCTTTCAAGTAAAAACTAGACTTTTGGAAAACTTAGCACCCACCATTAATATATAAAAGTTGCTTGGGAGTTTCAATTTTAGGTGTAAAGTAGGGTTTGGTGAACTTTCTCTAAAGGACCAGATAGTAAATATTTTAGGTTTTGTAGACCATGCCTGTTACAACTCCTCCATTCTGCCATTGTACCATAAAAGCAGCTGTGGACAACATGTAAACAAGTGAGTGTGGTCATATTCCAGTAAAATAACAGAAGTAGGTGGCAGGCTTCCAACCCGTGCTGTGAAGGTGGTCTGAGACAAAACATTTAGAACTGCACTAGACTAACAACTAGATATAAATTTTAAGATAACTATGAAGTTAACCTAATGGAAAAGGCCCAGCTAACTTAAAAAAAAAAAAAAGTTTGTTAAAATTGTTATTGTTGAAAGTATTACAGATGCCTCCTTTTTTTCTCCATTGAACCCCCCTACCCTGCACCCACCCCTCTCAGGCGTTCACCACTATTGTCTGTCTAATGAACAAAATAAACTGATGAACAAAATAGATCCAGAGACACAGAAGTATGGAACAGACTGACGAATCTCAGAGGGAATGGGGTTGATGGGAAGAGATTAACCTAGTAACAATGTGCATATATGCATAGCCCATGGACACAGACAATAATGTGGTTAAATGTATTTTACTAATTTTAGAGAGAGGAAGGGAGAGGGAGAGAGAAACATCAATCAGCTGCCTCCTGCACACACCTCCATCAAGGATCTAGCCAACAACCCGGTCATGTGCCCTAACCGGGAATTGGGAATAGAACCAGCAACACAGTGCACAGAACAAGGCTCAACCAACTGAGCCACACCAGCCAGGGCACAAACTTGTTTTTAAAAAATGTGTTTTTATTAATTTCAGAGAGGAAGGGAGAGACAGAAACATCAATGATGAGAGAGAATCATTGGTCGGCTGCCACCTGCACACCCCTCCACTGGGGATCAAGCCTGCAACCCCAGTAATCAAACCCTGACCTCCTGGTTCATAAGTCGAGGTTCAACCATTGAGCAACACTGGCTGGGCACAAACTCATTTTTAAAACATGGCTCAAATAGACACTGTGTTCATAGATGGTATGATGATTAAAAAAAGTCAATTCTCTCCATAAGTCATAGTAATAATAGATGCCATAACAGACAGAAATATCAGAATGGAGAGCTCAGTTACCTATGCAGATGTAATATATGATAAAAAGTGCTTTGTTTCAGAATCATTGGGGAAAGGAGAAATTAATAGATGGTGCTGGGAAAGCCACTTAATAGAGAAAAGTAAATATGGAACTATCATATCACATACAAGAAATACAATTGCTTTAGAGTTAGGGTAAATCTGTAATGGAAAATACAGACTATCTTGGAGTTGTGGTAGTATACTAAACAAGACCTCTGATTTTTATTTCCTTCCTTCTACTAACTACCTGATACTACAGCTTGGGTTTGCCCCTTTTCCCCCTTGAGTCCCAATTCCACTGAGGTTTAAGGGCTGCAATAAACTTCCCACAATTTGACCTTTTATACCTGCATTTTGAAAAGACCTCTTAAAGCATAAACCATAGAGGAAAATTGATAAGAATTTATTTTGTAACCCCGGGAAAGATTGGATCAAGCAAGAACTATCAATAGATGCTAAATCTAGGGGGAAGTTTTGACAAGGAGGAGGAGATTTGCATGGCCTTAGTGCTTCCCCACAGATTGCTTATAAATTAAAATAGTAAAATATAGTGCCTCTACACTGGAGCAAGCCAATTAGATGAAATTGCTCCATATTATATTTACCGAAGTTGATAACTAATGTGGTTGTGCAGGAGAATATCCTTATTCTTGGGAAATGCACATTTAAATATTTAGGGGTAAAGGGCCAAGTATATGGATGCAACTTTCAAAACATTTGATAAAATATTAAAGCTATAGATAGAAATACAAATGATAAAATAAATGCGGTAAAATGGTAATGATAGGTGAATCTGAGTAGAAGGTATATGAATATTCTTTGTAAACTCATTCTTTTTTGTTTGTCAATCCTCACCCGAGGATATTTTTTCCATTGATTTTCAGAGAGAATGGAAGGGAAGCGGGTGGGGGTTGGGGGGGAGTGGGGAGAGAAACATTATTGTGAGAGAGACACATAGATTGGTTGTCTCCCCCATGTACCCTGACAGGGGCGGGGGATGGAGCCTGCAACCAAGGCAGGTGCCCTGGACCAGAGTTGAACCGTGACCCTTCAGTTTGAGGGCCGTAAAGTCATTCTTGAAACTTTTCTATAAATTTGAGATTGTTTCCATATAAGAAGCTTTTAAATGGGTTGATTTGGGCATAAAAATTAAGGAGGCTTGCTAATCTTAGGGTTAGTTGACTAGTGTGAAATATTTGCAACATTTTTAAACCCATAAAGAATTATGTAGAATACTGGAAACTCCTGGAAATCAACAGAAAAAGACAAGAAGTCCAATAGAAAAATTGGCAAGGATTGAATAGGCAATTTTCAGAAAAGTAAACCAGAATGAATGGCTAATCTATTTTTGGTAGATTTTTATATACAGTTGCAATGGATAGATATTGAAAGCAATTCCAAGCAAGGGAAAACAAACAGAATCATAACTATTGTGCAATACTATTTATATGAATTAAAGCCATGCATATCTTCACAATGTATGACTGAAAAATACAGCTAGAAAACAGAGGAAGTGTCTATTACTAGAAAGAGGACGGAGTGGAATAGAAAGTAAAAAGAAGAAAAAATAGAACAAAGCTAGAGAGGAATGCTACTCTGACTTGTCAGCAAGCCATGAATGAGCTCAAGAATTGGATGAATTAGCCCTAGCCGGGTATCTCAGTGGTTAGAACATCAGCCCACAAAATGAATGGTCATGGATTCCACTCAGGTCAAGGGCATGTACTTCGGTTTGCAGGCTCCATCCCTGGCCCGGGTGGGAGGCAAACAATCAATGTGTCTCACAATGTTTCTCTCTGTGTCTCTCCCCCTCCCTTCACTCTCTCTAAAATCAATGGTAAAAATATCTTCTGTTGAAGATTAAAAACAGCAACAAAAGAACTAGATGAATTATAAACTGGTATCAAAAATCTGTAAGAGCCTGGCTGGCATGGCTCAGTGGTTGGTCGTGGACCAATGAACCAGGAGGTCACGGTTCGATTCCCTGTCAGGGCGCATGCTCCGGTTGCAGGCTCGATCCCCAGTGTTGGGCGTGCAGGAGGCAGCCGATCAATGATTCTCTCTCATCATTGATGTTTCTCTCTCTCTCTCCCTCTGCCTTCCTCTCTGAAATCAATAAAACTATATTTTAAAAAAAATCTGTAAGAGCCCTAGCTGGTTTGGCTCAATTGATAGAGGGTCAGCCTGTGGAACAAAGGGTCCCAGGTTCAATTCCAGTCAAGGGCACATGCCTGGGTTGTGGACTCCATCCCCAATAGAGGGCGTGCAGGAGGCAGCCAATCAATTATTCTCTCTCATCATTGATGTTTCTATCTCTCGTTCCCTCTCCCTCTCTGAAATCAATTATATATATATATCTTTATTTAAAAAAGAAAAAATCTGTAAGAAAAGTGGAGGGTGGGAACAGCTCCACTGACCTGATTAACTGAGAAACAGCTTTCTTTACAGCCAAGGGACCAGCCCCCACAAGCCCGCTTACCTGCTCAATTGTGTCGAAACTCCCCTTCTGGCTTACCACCGTCGAGCGCCACAGACAGGTTCATCATATTTCTGTGCCACAAAAGGGCTCTCCAGGTTTTTTCAGTTCCTGAGGGGTTCAGTTTGTTTTCTTTTCTTTAATTGTATAATTTACATAACAAAGTCCACCAGTTTTAAATGTACAATTCAATTGTTTTTAGTATACTCATTGAGTCAATCATCTCTATAATCTAATTCTAGAATATTTTCATCATCCCCCAAAGAAACCTTGTTCGTTTATTCAACTTAATTAGGCTTTTAAATCATGTGTTCTTCTCTCCCCTAATGGTGGGCGTTAGAACCTCAGCTGGTCATGGGCCAACAGAGAAAGGTGTAGCCTGGGACTCCACTGCAGTGGATCATCACTTGGCAGCCTGCATCTGGGCAAACACTTGGAGGCTTGAGCTGGCTCTACAAAGATGCCTTTTTCAATATGCATGATTTTGAAAAGATAAATGTTCATGATGTGTAAAATGATGTCCAGGGGAAAGACACCCCCCCCCCTTACACACACACTTTCTCCATCCTACTCCTGACACACTACCCATTTAACAGTTTCTCATCTGTCTTTCCAGAGAGGCCTTCCTCGCTGGAGATTTCTCAAGTGCGTGTTATTTGCACTCCAAGAAAAGAACCATTGAGTAGCTCTGGGGTGCAATCAGCCAAGGAGGGCGGGGGCCATGGTTGGAGGACGCAAATCCCTCAAACTGCGTGCCCTTGCCCTTCCTTGAAGGTCATCCTGGCTGGCTTGCTGGAGTCCCGCCCTGAGTGGCCGCCGGCCTGGCTGGGGTGAGAACTGGAACCCAACTGTGCTTGTTGGGAGGGTCCACCGTGTCTGCGTAAGTTGGCACTGGCCCAAGGGGCGCCTGCCTGAAGCCCTAGCCAGGAACTGCTATGTGTGTGGACGCCTAGTGTGTGTGTGAATGTCAGCGAGCCCTGTGAAGACGTGTGTGCACGATGTGTGAGAACATATGCGTGCTGAGTGAGCACGTTCGTGCACATGGTGTGTGTGCGCGCTGCTCACACGCTGTGTGAAAAACTGTATAACGCTTTGAGTGTGCGTTGCACGGAGAGGTGTGTTTCCACTGGTGGGTGTGCACGACGAGTGTGCCAGCGCGCTGTGTGCACAACGCACGTGCACGCGGTATGTGCGTGCGCTGGGAGAACTAGTGCCCCCACCTTGCCCGTGCACGCGGTGCGCGCCTGTGCGTGAGGCCCGGTGTGCGCGTTCGCGGCGTGAGAACCGGTGCGCACATCGCACGTGCACGCCGAGTGCGCATGCCAGGTGAGGACGCGGGCGCTGCAGGGCCAGGACTGCGCGACGCAAGGGCGCAGGCAGTGGGCAGTGGGCAGTGGGCCCGTGCGAGCAGCGCATCCAGATGGAGCAAGGCGAAGGCGGCGGCGGCGGCGCGGGAGCCGGGACGCAGGGGACTGCGCGGGGCTCCCCGCTCCACGGGAAGATGGCCGAACCAAACGGGGTGCGGACCTCGCCGCCCAACCATCGGTTTTCAGGTAGAGCCCCGGGTTCGGCGGGTGCGTGGGCTTCAGACCCCTGGGGGCGGGCGGACCCTCTGCGGGACGCGCTGGGCAGCGGCCCTGGAGGGCTCGGGGCGGGGGCGCAGCGTGGAGGTAAGATCAGTGCTCTTCTGCCTGGGGTTGGCTGGGCACTGGATGGGGGGCCGCGCCCCTAGCCGGGCTGGCTGGGTCCTCTCTCGGCTGGAGTGAGTGAGTGAGTGAGCTTGGGGGTGGCTTAGGATGGGTGGCAAGTATGTTTGCCGTGGGGTGCCGAAGACCACGTTTGATGCCCGGGGTAGGGCGTTCCTCGTGATCCGCCCGCGTGGGGGGCACTCGGAAGGACAGCGGGCTGCGGGGGGTCGCCCGGGCCTGCGCGCCCGCCCACTCTGCGTCTAGGGAAACGCACGAGCGACGTCTGCAGCCGGATGCGCAGGTGGTACAGCTGCCTGCTCTGCGGCGTCCCCGGGGCAGAACCCGTGGGTCACCCACTGGCCGGGGCGGGTGGCGGGGCGGGCGCCCCTGGCCGGGTTTCCCTGCCGCCTACGTGTGCTGCCCAGGGGTCTGGCGGGGCCGCGGCCCCCTCACAAGGCAGCGCGAGGAATGAGTCTCCAGGCCCGCGAGGCTGCAGCTCCTAGAATCCATGGAGGGGAGGGCTGGTGCCCGGGTTGGCTGCCTAGAAATGAGCTGAGCAGGGGGAGATTTTGAGGACATTTGGCAGAATTTTAGATAAGCAGGTCGCGCGTCTTCTAAGGTTCTGTAAAGTGGTTGCAGGTAGTGTGGGGGTGTAAGTGACGAGGAAACTGATTTCATGCTGTTTTTCTTGGCAACGCCTTTTTTTTTTTAAAGTTAATGTGAGCTATTTTAAAAACATTTTTTTTACTGCAGTATAACATGCGTACCACCAAGGCTCACAGATCTTAAGTATAGGATTCAAAGAACTAGCGCATAGTGAATAATCATTTTATATAAGGTGTACCAAGGAAGGGAAACAAATCAAGGGAAATGTTCTGTAGTCACTTAAAACATGCTTTTCATTGGGAGGGTGTATTTGTGATTGAGCCTTCATTTGCATCACTCATAGAAGGAGGAGGTGGCTTAAATCTTTCCCAGTTTGTGTTTTTCATCATTCATATTTTTAAGGCAGAATTTAACAAACATCAGGATAGTGATATAAATACTATAAATATGTACTTCTGTTTTCATCCTTTTTGCTTGAGAAACTGGGCTGCATCTGCTAGGGAAGAACGCAGAATGCACTGTGGGGGGCGTAAAAAAATAACTTTACTCCCACCTAAATTCTTCCAACTGGGCTAGTAATCAAATTAACAGAGACAGATTAACAGGAGAAAATATACAAAGTTTATTACAAATCTACATGGCAGGGTGTCTTAAGGTATGAACCCCCAAATGGGGCATGGGGCAGTTAAGGCTTGCTTATATGACATTCTGGACAAAGGAGAAGGGGTAAGGTGGGGACCTGGGGGTCCAGGATCACAAAGGGGAAGTAGGTAAATCACAGGTAGGAGAAAGAGCAAACATATGGTAAACAAATTCTTACTGGGCCACCCAGAAACAATGGAACACAGAGGGGAACAGGCTTTGCTACATTTCTTCCTGTCTATCACATGTGCTAATTCATATGTTGCTGAAGTGATTATGTTGATTCGCTTCCTGTTTTTTTTAAAATATATTTTATTGATTTTTCACAGAGAGGAAGGGAGAGGGATAGACAGTTAGAAACATGGATGAGAGAGAACCACCTCCTGCACACCCCCCCACTGGGGATGTGCCTGCAACCAAGGTACATGCCCTTGACCGGAATCGAACCTGGGACCCTTGAGTCCGCAGGCTGACGCTCTATCCACTGAGCCAAACCGATTAGGGTTTGATTCACTTCCTGAAGCAGATTTTTCTATCTGAATTATTCTAGGCAGGAAGGGGGGGGCGGTCAAAAGTTCTTTCTGAGGTTTTTGGTTTTTAATAACCAGTTTAAATCAATATCTCAAAAGACACACTTTGGGGTTAAAAATTTGGTTCCTCTCTGCCGAAACCGGTTTGGCTCAGTGGATGGAGCGTCGGCCTGTGGACTGAAGGGTCCCGGGTTCGATTCCGGTCAAGGGCATGTACCTGGGTTGCGGGCACATCCCCAGTGGGAGATGTGCAGGAGGCGGCTGATCGATGTTTCTCTCTCATCGATGTTTCTAACTTTCTATCTCTCTCCCTTCCTCTCTGTGAAAAATCAATAAAATATATATTAAAAAAAAAAAATTTGGTTCCTCTCACCACCCACTCACCCATCAGAACAAGCTGTGAGGGAGGGGGACCTAGTAGAAACAAACATTGGGAAAGGGAGGTTATTGAAGTTCACATTTTTATGTGGTTGAGAGCTTAAATAATAGGTTATTTCAGTGCTTAGAGATAGGGAGGGGCTGTATGGTTAGACCTGCAATATATCTGTGGGATTTTAATTTATTTGAAGGAACTTAATAAGGGGGCATTCTTACCAAGTTCTAGTTGGAAATTTTATTGTAGAACCATTTAATGGACTCTACTGATAGCAAGATGAGCTTAAAGCTATTTTCTTTCATTTGAAATTGGAAATATGGAAAGACGTGTGAAGGTTTAAAATATTCAACTTCTGTGTGCATTAGGGCTGGTGGGGAAAAAGTGGAGTGTTCAGTTTTGGTGCCTGGTAGTACTGTGATTTGTTCTGTTTGAGGGATCATGAGGTGGTTGTATTTAGAAAAATGCCATCCTCAGAAATGTCTTGATTATTGAGGTTTTATTATAATCCACCCCAGAATCTGATCATTCATTGGTCGAGCAAGGCTGTATCATTCCTAATGAGATTCAACCCTGTATTTTTTTGTTGTTGTTGTTAGTCCTCAGCCAACGATATTTTTCCATTGATTTTTTAGAGAGAGTGGAAGAGAGAGGGAGAGACAAACACTGATGTGAGGCACATTGATTGGTTGCCTCCCGCAGGAACCCTACCAACCCAGGACCGGAATCAAACTGAGGACCCTTCAGTCTGAGGGCCGATGCTCGATCCACTGAGCGAAACCGGGGCAACCCTGCATTTCTTGAGGTCAACCTTTGTTCCTAAGTTTGTGCTGAGTGCTGTGAGGGCCAGAAAAGATGGAAAGGCCTGTGGTATGTAGGCTCTCTATTTCATGGGGGCACATTGGGGGATGGAGATGAGTTGGCGAGTGGTTTTTCTGGGAGGTATTGCAGAAGGAGGCCGCAAGGGACTACCTCTTGGTTGTTTCCTTTAGCAACAGTTTCTTCTGATATCAAAATCCGGTATGTGTTCCCATTGTCCTCCAGTGATGTTTTCTTTCCTTTTAATTACCTCCCCTGTGGAAATTATCAAATGTATTGTTCTTTTTAGTGCTTATGTTATATGCACGGTGTAACGAAGGAGGAGCCAGCTCCTGTTGCTTGGATCTGCTTAAATACCTTTAGCCAGCAGGTAGAATTACCAGATCTCAGCTGTTGGATTGCCTCAGTGTCACATAGTCCTGTGCTCCCCTCAGTCTGAAATGTCCCCTATCCCTTTTACTCTTCCTCTAGGCTTCTCACAGTATGAATTAAGCCTTCCCTTTCACCTTCTGTGCTGTCGCTCAGGGCCTGAGCCCTCAGAACCTGAATGTGCCTGTGGGAAGTTTCCAGTCACCTACTGCACTTGTGGTAACCTTAGCTCCTCAGATAGTAACAGCCGCTCATTGTCAAGCACTGATATGCCAAGCAACATTATAACCACTCATCACACTTTATTTTACTATATTCCTCACAAACACTTTAAAACTTTTTTTTTTTATTGATTTCAGAGAGGAAGGGAGAAGGAGAGAGATAGAAACATCAATGATTGGCTGCCTCATGCACGCCCCCTACATGAGACCTCACCCCCAACTGGTAATTGAACCATGACCTCCTGGTTCATAGGTCGATGCTCAACCACTGAGCCATACCCGCCTGACCCAAACACCCTTTGTTTTTTAAAAAAAAAAGTTTTTAAAATTGATTTTATAGAGAGTAAGGTGAGAGAGAGAGAAACATTGATGTAAGAGAGAAACATCTATCGATTGCCTCCCGAACCAGCCCTGATTGGAATGGAACCCACAGCCTGGGCATCTGCCCTGACTTGGAATTGAACCCGCCAACCTTTGATGTACAGAATAATGCTCCAAGGAACTGAGCCACCGGCCAGGGATTTATACTGTTTTAATCCTCCTTTTAGAGATGTTTTAGTTATCCATGCCTGTATAACAAATCACTGCAAGTTTATTGTTTCTCACAGTTCTGGGGTTGGTTGGGTTCAGTTGAGCGGTTAGCAGTTCTTCCAGTCCTTGTGGTGTCAGCTGAGTGGCTCCTGCCATTGCAGCCATCTGGGATCTCAGTAGGCTTGAAGTGTCTTAAAAGCCTCTCATGGTCCAGGGAGTCTGTCCTGAACTCAGTGTGGCAGCGGCGCTTTGAGAGTGAGGAAGCAGAAGTTGCCAGTTCTCTTAAGGCCTGGGCTTGGAAGTCCCAGAATATCACTTTTGCTGCATTCAGTGGTCAAAGCAAGTCACAAGGCCAGCCCACATTCAAGGGGAGGGAAAATAGCCTCCTTTTCTTGATGCGAGGAGTGGTAAGCACCTTGTGGGAGAAGAGGCATCTCTCACTTTGGAGATTCTCTAGTGCAACAAATAAATCCATTGACGTTATGAGAAGTCAAGTCATTCGCTCAAGGTCACACAGTAAGTGGCAAGCCAGATCTCACACCCAAGTGTGATTGACTCGAGTAAAGTAGTTCTAGCTTCTATGCTGCTGTGCCTTCCCAGATGGGTTATAACCAACTCCTTTTATACATGGGCCATGCAGCCCTCTCTCAAGCAAAATCTAGCTCAGTACTGTCGATCCATGTTTTATGAGGATTTCGTGTGTCTTTTCCTTAGTACACAGTTGTTTTTCTCCCCAAAGGTGATGAGGATTCCCATTTCTTAGAGCAAAAATTT